GATCCTCCTGTTTTCAGTCTCCCAAGCGCTCGGATTACAGGCGTGCGCCACCATGCCCGCCCGCCTCAATCGCAGTCTCAGCGTGTCCCAGGGGCGGGGCCGGCGCTGCTTGTGGTGCCCGAGATCGAAGTCTACAATTTTTGCTGCACTCTGCAAGGTCCTGCCAGGTTCCCCCCAGGCCTCCCTCGGGCCTTGGCCTTCCTCTCGTTCTCCCTGCTCCCTCTGTGCAAGGCTGTGTTCCCCTTCCTGCTCCAAATCTTTTCCTGTATGCCAGTCCTCTGCCTTCTCTCCCTCCTTCCTTCTTTTGCTGAGCACCTCTCTTCCAGGTCCAGGGTAAACTGTACTGTCACATGGTTCCTTAGGCTTTTTACTTCTCCAGGGTTTATTACCAGTATATTTGCATAATGTGCATTCTACTCCTCGGAACTTTATAGCCCATGTTTTATTTTGTTTGTTTGCTTTTGTTTTCTATGGCTTTTTTTTTTTTTTCTGAGATAGGGTCTCACTGTGTAACCTTAAACTCACTAGGTAGCTTAGGATGGCCTCAAACTTGCAGCGATCCTCCTGCCTCAGCCTCCTGAGTGCTGGGATTGCTGGCATACACCACCTGGTATGGCCCATATTTGACAGCTCTAGTGCTATTTTCTAGAAGCATCTAGAAGACAGACAAAGAACTTGATGATGTCAATATAAACAAAGAAAAAAGGATTTGACATATGTCTTTTGATACTCAGAAATGAGACAGCCAGGTGTAGTGGTGCACACCTGTAAACCTAGCACTTGGAAGACTGAGGCAGAAGGATTGCTACGAGTTTGAGGGCAGCCTGGGCTACATAGTGAGTTCAAGGTCAGCCTGAACTATACAGCAAGCCATTGTCTTAAGAAAAGGGGAGGGGGGGAGAGAAAGAGACAGAGGCAGAGAGACAGACAGACAGAGACAGAGACAAAGAGAGATAGAAAGAGACAGAGAGACAGAGACAGAGAGACAGAGTCAGAGACAGAGAACCCAGTGTGTCGGCACATGCCTGTAATCTCAGCACTCAGGGAGGCTGAGGAAGGAATGGATGTAAGTTTGAGCCCAACTTGGCAACTCTGTAAGACCCTGTCTCAAAATAAAAAATAAAAAAGGCTGAATATGTAGCTCAGTGTGAAAGTCCTGGGCTCAATCTCCAGGAATGTAGAGGAAAAAAAAAAAAAGGTGTGAGACAAATGCTCAACTCCCTCTGTCGCACCCCAACAGGAAACCACCATGAGGTCAGAGGTTATTTGGATGCAGGAGGAAAAAATTTCTGCTGCTACATGTTTTTCTGCTGAGACATGTACTTTCTAAGGATCATGGGGCATCACACAGAGGCCGACAAGAGAAGATGGAGCACTCTGGCACCAGTGATTCACCCACAGTCTCCAGCCATGGTACCCAGAACATACTCCAGCCAGTACTACTGTTGCCTCTTGGCTCAGCGAGAGACAGGTGGGGCAGGAAGATGTAGGACTCTGGCCCTGGGTATGACACATGTGCCAGAGAGCTGAAGAGTCAAAAGTTTCGGCTTGTGGGATCTCAAGCAAGTCATTGACTGTCTCTAGTCTTTATTTTCACCATCCCTGAGACAAGAGACAAGAGACAAGAGACAAGAGACAAGAGACCAAGGACCCTGGTCAGCAGATTCTGAAATGGAAACTTGCATGCAGGAGGATTATTGGGAAAGTAACACAGATGGTTTGAAGTAGGACAGGCCTAAGGAGAAGCTGAGTTACAATGGAGTGTTCTAGAACCCAATGAAGTGGGGTGCTAGAACTAGGGTGATCTTTCAGGGTGGTTTGTTGCAAGTAGAGGCAGAGGCCAGGCCTCTGTATCACGTTTGTTTGTTTGTTTTTGCAGTTCTCAGCACCAAACTCAGGACCTGGCACTTGCCCGCCAGGTGCTTATGCCACTGAGCTATATCCCTGGCCCTCTGTATCCTTCTTTCCCACCAACCAAACATTGGAGGCAGACTGCCTGGAGGAGGTGTAACCGTGACTCTCTCCAACACAGGGCAGTCCCCAGGCAGGGACTTGGCTGAAATGTGAGGAATGAATGCCACAGCCTGGGTTGTGCAGCAAAACACCCACAACTGAGGAACTTGGAAGAGCCGTTTCTGAACCGGTCCACAGAACCTGCAGGCCACAAGCACCTCCCTGAGTAGGAAATTGCTCTCCTTGGTCGTATTACATCTTCTCGGAAGAGCAGACTCCACTGCTAAGGCTGTCATCGCCCCAGAAGCACAGGAGATTTCTCCTTGGGCCATCCATCACAACAGTAATGCAAATCATTAGTTGAGTAATGATCCACTATCTGTCCCCTGCATTTGACAGGAATCCCAAGAGAGCAGGAACCATGCCTATCTCCCTGTCTGCTGTCTCCGGGGCACATTACATATTAGGTACACAGCATCTGTCGAGTGAAAAGAAACCCCAGGGAGGCTGTAAAAGATGGTCCTCTAGGAGATTCTAAGACAGAAAAGGCTTGGGCGGCACTTCCCCAGATCAGCCTGCCTGAGGGCTCTGGTGAGGACCTGGAGCCCACAGGGATGACTCATGCGGCTCTTCTCTACTCAGCAACGCTCAGAAGCTAAACAACAAACTCTGGCCTCTAGCAACCCTTCTCAAACTCCATCCTGCGTCAATAATGTGTCCAGGTCCTGGATGGCAGACTGCAGAAGTCTATAAACCAATTCATGAGATACTATCTGGACTTCAGAATTTGTTCAAATTGAGTTCAACTTGAGCAAAAAAATCAACAGGGGCTGGGGCTATACCTTAGCAGCATAAGCACCTGCCCGGCAAGTGGAAGGTCCAGAGTTCGATTCCTGGTACTGAAGAAAAACAACAACAACAAAAGAGTAGATTGAGGGCACAGGCAATCTGGGGGCAAATGTTACACAGTACAAACTCTGGAATCACACAGAGAGGGGCTCTAATTCAACCTCAAAACTTGATCTTGGGCAAATTTCTGAATGCTCAGTCTTGTTAATGAGGTTCCGGCTACTTAAACTGCTGGTGGCTTCCATGCATTATGTAATCCTCACACCTTTCCTGTGACCCTAGGTAATAATGCCATTCCATGAGAAACTAAGGTTGTAGCTTGAGGCTCAAGATGTGAAATGTTGGGGGCCTGCCCCTTAGCTCAGTCCTTTAAGTGGCTGCTTCAACAAAGCAGCCAGGCTCAGGTTGCTGTGGTTCGATCCCCACAACTCAAGCCAGCCAAACCTGCCCTGAAGGCATTCCGAGCAAAAAAAAAAAAAAAAAAAAAAAAAATTCCTTAGAGGTCGGGAAGATGGCTCAGTGGAATAAACGCTTCCCTGGCAGGTGCAAGGGCCTGAGTTCAATCCCTGGTTCTGCAAAAAAAAAAAAAAAAAAAAAAAAGTTAAATGTCAAAGCTGGAATGGGAACCAGGGTCTAACTGCTTAGTTAATATGCCCTAGTTTCTCACGTGTGGACTTATTTAAACACCTGTAAAATGGGACCCACACCCCTTTCTCAAAGGGATATCGTGAAGATTAAATCTAAAAACATTTTCCAACAGCCACCTTTCAAGGTTTTTTTTTTTTTTTGTACTGGGAATTGAACTCGGGACCCTGTGCTTGCCGCGCTGTCAGCCACCTTTCTAGACATGTTACCTGGAAAAGAAATGAAAATGTTTTATCTCTAGTTTTATGGCTGAGGAAATTTGAAGCACAGGGAAATGAATTAGTCCTCCCTCCTAGGCGTGTAAGTGGCTAAGTCAGGGACAGTATCCAAGCTTCGCACTCCAGCTTTGGTTCCCTTTTTCTCACCTCTTCTCAGAGGATCTAGAAGGAAAAGCAAGCATAGGACTACTGCGGAATGGGGGAGGGGCCTCAAGGAAAAAGCTACATGCAGTCACTCACTCACAGAAGGCTTCCTGCAGACCAGGTTTTTGGTTTATGACCGCAGGATTCAGAGCTAATGGGAAGCTGGCAGGTCTTAGCTTTCAGTTCTGAATATGGTTTTTCTACCATCTCACTAGTTCCTGGCGCCCAGAGAAGCTGAGAAATTTGGCCAAGGACATTCAACTCTAAATGGCAAGGGTACAGTCTGCACTTGATTCCTTATGCCTGGAAAGGGATGAATGAGGTGATCATGATGTGATGGAGTGGGGGACACAAGAGGAAATCTCTAGGCTGTCAGGGAACCTTCTCCTCACACTGGTGTTCTCCAGTAGGAAAGAAAACCAGGTGTGCCGTCAAAGCCTCAGGGTCACAGACCTCAGCTCGGAGCCTGGCTCCACCAATGACCCACGTAGCCTCAGCAGTGTCATTTCACCTGTCTTGAATTATTGCAGATTCACAGAAATGGAACCTGGAGTTTTGTCAGAAGAATAATAGTCATTATTACTCCATGATGCTAGACATGCCATAGATGGGTGGGAGAGCTGGACACCTGAGGGACAATTCCAACACTTCAATCACAGGGCACAAGCACCTGGCAGGGCAGAGGCCGTCAGGTTTGGTCCACAATACAATCACAGTTCCTGGCTGTACTATGAGGTGAACCCTGACCTTCAGGAAATTAGGAAAACAGCCCATGAACAAGGAATACAAAACAAAACCTCGGTGAACTTTTATGTCATCATACACAACCAGTAGCAAGATCAAAGGTTTCAACACTTTTAACACTGGATACCCCTCCCCACCCACCCTGGAGACACAGTCATTATTCAAACCCCCATGCTGGGACCCCTCCCCTCCCCCAATCTTTGTAGGGAGGGCTTATTTAGGTCTGGGGGGTCGCCAGTCGCTTCCCCATGCCTGCATGGGTATGAAATGTGGCACAGTGGCCAGGTTGCTTTCCTGCCACCTGGGGGGAGAAGCAGAGGAATGGTGCCCTTGCCTTGCCCAGGCTCCTCCAGCCTGGGAGGAGGCATCCGCTGCTGGAAGGGCGAGGGAAGCCGAGATTCACAGTTGTTGGCTGCAGAAAGGGCTCGGGGTCAGTCCTTAGCTGCTTCTGTCTCCAAGCACTCCACCTGAACCCAGGAGGGACTGACAGGTGCTAAGATAAGGGTAAGTTCTTCAAAGGCAGCCAGGAGATTGACTGAAAGAGGAGGGGAGGTCCCCAGGAGCCTTCATAACCTTGTAAGAAAAAAAAAAAATCTTCTTGCTATTGACCTGAGATCCCAGGGCACAGCATGAAATCTGGGGAAACTCAAAAAATACCCCTCAGCCTGCAAGTGCAATGCTCAGGGGGGCTCGGCAGTGTGGTCACAGCCACTGAATCGGTGGCAGGAGCCAAACCAGGACCCTGGCATTAACTTCCCTCCCTGGACTCTGGCATCATGTCAGCCATCTAAAAAGGCTCAACTTTTTTTTGGCAAGTCCTTAGCACAGCCCCTGGGGATAAGAGGGTGGGCAACAGCCACTGCAGTCACAGAACTTCCCTCCGCTCCTCATAGGCACTGACCGGATTTCAAAGGTGAGGCCCTGAGGAGGCCTGGTCTCAATCACAGAGGACCTAAGTACAGATCATTTATCTTCAAATCTTCCCTCCTCCTCAGAAGGCAAAGTGGACAACAGGGGCTCCTCCTCTAGGGATAGTCTGCTCTTTGGATGTGTCTGGCCCTCACCTACGGTCTCACACCACTGGGTGTGGGAGACAGGGTTACAGGGGTGAAGAGGTAAAGAACTGAAGTAGGATTTGGGCCACCATGGAACGGAGGGCCTGCAGGTTGCCCAACAGAAAAGGCTTTTGATGGACTGGGTGCACAGACCAGCTGTGACCCTGACTTTCACATTGATGGGTGAACGGCAGGTGGGAGGTAATGCGATATGAGAGTGAGGCGGGGAGGGAAGGCAAAGCTGCCTGGAGTGCTAAGGCCCTGGAGCTCTGTGCTGCTCTTCTCCAGAGGCCAGCCCACAACTTTCCAGTCCCAGAGGGCCATGGCACTCATGGGGCCTGGGGCCTGGGCTACTGACATGTAGGTCTGAGGGTGGGCCATTCCTCTTCCTGTGACCTCTGGCTCTGGGGGCCAGGAAAGGAAGAAGGGCACGGTCCTTGGGATCTCCTAGTCCTCTTCCAGGTCCCATGAGGCAAGCTGGAATCCCAGAGTCAGTCAGTGCAATGATTCTGTCCATTCCAGAGACGAGGAGAGCGCCGTCAGGGGCTGTACATCACACAAGCCCGCCCCCGTGGTGGGGTATGGGGGTGTGGGACAGAAGGGGTCCTGGGTCTGTCTTCAGACAGAGAAGTCCTTGCAGGGAGGAGGATGCCCCAGAGTCAGCTGCTCCGGGTGTGGGTCCTGCGTGGGAGGGAGTCAGGTCATGTAGCGGGTGATGGCGCGGAGGACGTAGAGCAAGGCGGCTTGCATGCGAGCTTCCAGGAGCAGCAGGTTCACGTGGACCTGGGACACAGACCGGGGAGTTGTGATCAAGTGACCTGCAGCCCTCCTACATTGGCCCGACCTCTGGCTCCTCAGCTAGCCCTTCCTAATCCCCACAGATAGGCCCTGACCTTTGCCGAGTATATTGGTACAATGAGGGCTGAAGAATTTCTGGCACTTTCTTCCCATCATGCCCCATCTTTCCATCCCACAGAGCTAAAACAAGGGTGAGCGCAACCTGGCACCCACATAGGATCAGGGGTTTACAAATAGCTTCTAATTTCACTCTTCCAACTGTTTTGAAATGCAGGGACTGTTTATTCTCACTGGAAAACAGAAAAGCTCAGAGAAGCAAAGTGACCTGCCCCATGTCACAGTGCTACTAGGTAGGTGTTACAATTTGGATTTTGGTCCACTAGGCTGCCACTGAAGACATCACGAGAAGCAAGGACCCACATTCCTACTTCCCAGGTGAGTAAATGGCTTCTGAAATCACACAGCAGAGCAGGAATTAAAACTCAGGACAACAGGTCTATGTGTGCCCCTGGCAGGACAGACTCTGGGTCCTGTCCTCTTCCCTCTCTCCTAGCCAAGCTTGTCTACGTCCACCCTGCTCTACATCCACCCTGCTCCTTCCTCCCAGGGTGCTACCTTCTCTGAGTGGCGGAAGTGCCTCCAGAAGAGGTTGTACATCCTCCGGGTGGTCTTCTCTGGGTAGCAGGCCACAGTCTTGATATAGACTTTGAGGTTCCGCTCCAGGAGTTGGTTCACCTCCCCATAATCATAGTCATCGTATCTGGATGAAAAGAGCCCCACAGCATTACCCACTCTGTACTCCTGGGAGCTGCTCCCCACTGGAGAAGGGATAGACAGTGGCAGGAAACATAAGAAGGAGGAAGCAACACGATGCCTCCTTCCTCTTAGCAAATAGCTGATAGCATGTATTGCAGGACACCAGAGATGCAAGAGACCAACCTATGGATGCCCAGGGAATGAGCTCACTGCCCCTTTATCAATTATGTGCCATGTGAACCAGGCTTGGTGGGGCACCCTTGTAATCCCAGTACTCTGGAGGCTGAGGCAGGAGGATCCTTGGGAGTTCAAGACCAGCCTGGGCTACAAAGTAAGCTCAAGGTTAGGAACCTAGCAAGATTCTGTCTCAAAAAGATCAAAAGGGGGGAAAAATTATGTGCTATATGGATGTGTCCTCAAATTCCTCTGTACACAGCTCTGCAGCCTGAACACTGTACTCATCAACCCACTTTGCAGATGAGGGAACTGAAATTCAGGAAGTAAAGCTACTTGCCCTAGGTCAGAAAGCAAGGAATGTGAGTTTGAAACCCAAGCTGGCTGGGGTCCAGGGCTTATCTGCTACTTTACACTAAAAGAGCTTGGTGAATATTTATTTGCCTTGGAGAAGACGATTAGGGCAAAGAGGAGCTAGTACTGTAGTCAGTGTATGCCTGGAGAAGGCGATTCATTTGTTTAAGGTCAAAAAGCAAATTGGTGACCAATCTAGAAGCCTCTTTGTTGCACTCCAATTTTCTGTTATCTGTGTTCTCTTTTGCCCTTCTTCTTTGCTCTCCCTGTAGTACTGAAGCTGGAGGCCGAATCCAGACCCTCCAGTGTGCTAAGTAGGCACTCCAGCACTGAGCTCCAACCCAAATATGTTTGCTGAGTTCCCTAAAAATGAAGCTATTTGCTTTCTCTTTATAAACATCCAACATATTTTTTCAATATAGTCTCCTGCTTTTTGGTGCCAGGGATTGAACTCAGAACCTTATGCTTGCCAGGCATGGCACTTATGTCGCTGAGCTAGCTCTCCTGTCCTTTTTCAATATATTCTCAAAATTAAATAATTATTATAATTTCAATTATAAAAAAATTAGTACAGGGGCTGGGGAGATGGCTCAGTAGAATAAGCGCTTGCCTGGCAAGCCACAAGGGTCTGAGTTCAATCCCCGATTCTGCAGAAAAAAAAAAAAAAGTACATAAGAAAAAAAATCTCAGGATATGAATGTTGTAGCATATAAGAACTTGGGGGAAAAGTCAGGCATGGTGACACATACCTATATTCTCAGCACTTAGGAGGCTGAGGCAGGAGGATCATTGCAAGTTCAAGGCCAGCCTGGATACACTACAAAGTTACCTCAAGGCCAGCCTGAACTGCATAGGGAGACCCTGTTCTCAAAAACAAAAAAAACTTAGGAAAACTATCTTTTGCTTTAAATATTTGAATTTCATCAATGTTATCAAAGTGAGCTTTTTAATTTTTTTTTTTTTTTTTTTTTCAGCATCAGGGATTAAACTCAGGACCCTGCGCTTGCCAGGCAGGTGCTTTTTCTACTGAGCTATCTCCCCAGCCCAAAATAATTATTTTTGATAAGTAATTTCATATCTAGGAATATTTACAAGAACTTATTTGTGTTGTTATTGTTCATTTTTTTGAGATAAGGTCTTTTTTTTTTTTTTTTTTTTTAACCAGGGATTGAACTCAGGACCTTGCACTTGCCAGGCAAACACTTATTCTACTAAGCCATCTCCCTGGCTCCACTGCTATATAATTTAGACTAGGCTTGAACTTACTATGTAACCTAGGACTGACCTGGAACTAAAAGCAATCTTCCTACCTTAGCCGGCTGAATGCTGGGATTACAGGTATATATCACCATGCCCAACTACAAGAATTTATGGGGGGGAATTGGGGGAAAAAAAAAGAATTTATGTATAAAGACTTGTCAATGTGTACAGTGTTTGTAAGAGTGAAAAACTGCAAACAACCTAAATATGCAACAGAAGAGCAATGATTAAGTAATTATAGCCAGGCATGGTGATGCATGCCTGTAAATGCAGGGCTTGGGAGGCTGAGGCAGGAGGACCGCCATAAGCTGAGGCAAGGCTGGGCTACATAATGAGTGCAAGGTCAACTGGAGCTGCACAGTGAGATTTCATCTCAAAAAGAAAAAAATTAGAGACTGGGTATGGTGGCCTGCACCTGTAACCTCAGCGCTTGGGAGGCTGAAAATAGGAGGATCACTCTGAGTCCGATCTGTGTAGCGAGACTCTGTAAATCCTGTACTAAATATATTTTTGAAAAAATTTTAATGATTACATCTATAAACACAATGTTGGTTAAAAAGCATTAAAAGACCTGTTACACTGCTAATAAATATAGCTCATACTATATTAAATGAAAAAAACCCAAATTACAGAATATATCAAATATAATCTGATCAAGTAAAACAAAAACCTACCCCTAGAACCAGAAAAGACACTAGGCATGATGGCACAGGCACCTGTAACCCCAGCATTTAGGGAAGCTGAGGCAGCAAGATAGCAAGTTTGAGTCCAACATGGATAACTTAGTAAGATCTGATCTCAAAATGGGAGACGGCTCAGTAGAATAAGCGCTTCCCTGGCAAGCGTAAGGGTCTGAGTTCAATCCCCGGTTCTGCCAAAAAGGGAAAAAAAAAATCAAAATATAAAATAAAAGGGGCTGGGGATGTATGTATTTCAATCTCCAGTTCCATGCTTTAAAAAAAAAGAGGGGGTGGGGCCCTGCCAGATAGCTCAGTGGACTAAAGTGCCTGCTTAGGTAGATCCAGCAGCTGGATTCAATCCCCCAGCATGGTGTGCTGGCCCTGCCCGGGGGGCACACCGAGCCAGTGAATGAGACTGGGTGTGGTGGTGCACACCTGTAATCCGAGCACTTGGGAGGCTAAAAACAGGACCATCACTGAGTCCAATCTACAATCTATGTAGTGAGACCCTAGAGACCCTATCCTAAATACATTAAAGTAATGATAATAATAATAATAATAATAATAATAATAATAATAGAAGGAAAAAAATCAGAAATGGCTCGTGCCTTAGCTCAGCAGTAAGCAAGCACAAGGCCCTGGGTTTGACCCTTAGCACAATTAAAAACAAAAACAAAAACAGAAAGACTTAGCAAACACAAGATGAAAATGTCAAGTATTGTATTATAATATACAGACAACTTCTATTAAACATTTTAGTGTATAGTCTGGAACATATTTTCCCTGCACACACACTTAGTCAAAAAACAACAGAAGAATGGTGTGGTGATGCACCCTATAATTGCAGCACTTAGGCACTTAGGAAGCTGAGGCAGGAGAAGGGCCAGGAGTTTGAGGCTAGCTTGGACTACAGAGATACCTTATCTCAAAAAGCAAGAGCATGGGGCTGGTGAGATGGCTCAGTGGTCTAAAGCACCTACTTAGAACAAGCTTAGCTAAAGCACAGTGACCACGGTTCAATCCCCGAGCACCACATGCCAGCCAGCCCCGCCCCCTGGTGGGCTGAGCTGCCCCCCCACATAAATAAAATAAAATAAAATTTCAAAAAGCAAGAGCAAAAACAAAAAGAGGAAAAAATAAAAATTCTGGTTGGTAACTTTCTTTTCTCAATCAATTTTAAACACTTTTCCATACCAGGGCCTTATACATGCTAGGCAAATATTCTACCATTGAACTACATCCCCAGTGCTTAGTGGTTAACTAAGTTTCCTACTGATGGGTACTTACGTTGACCTTACTGAGAGAAAATCTGCTATTTGAAATGGACCTATATACTTTATATACTGCCATGTGTCTTATGTATGTACATAATTACATATAAATGTGCCTATCTCTATATGAAAGTCTATAAATACAGAGACAACTGTAGTGATTTCAGTGTGAGGTTAAAGAGCTTCATTTATAAGGTGTGAACAATGAAGACTCTCACTAAAAATTTGTCTAAATCAGCAAAGTAAAGTTGTTTTTTATTTTTTTTTTTGGTGGTGCTGGGGATTGAACTCAGGATCATGTGCTTGCCAGGCAAGTGCTTATTCTACTGAGCTATCTCCCTGGCCCCAAGTTGCTTTGAAAAATAGGAGGGGCAAGAAGAAAAAGAAGTAACAATAAAAATAAAATAATAGTGCGCCAAGAGTAAGATTTGCGGTGCACACACGTCCTTGACAAGGAGACAGTGCTCACCTGATGCCGAAGACACAATGGATGTAGTTCCAGATGGCCCTGCGGAGCACCGAGGTGTCCACACCGCTGTGCATGGCGATGGTGTTGTAGGTGAGGCTGTAGGCTGCTTGGAACTTCTCGTCCAGCAGCTGCCCACCCTCAGGGTAGAGACGCTGGATCAGTGAGTAGCCGTGGTCTTCCCAGGTATAGTCCTGAGGAATGGGAAAGGTCAGGGAGTGAGGCCCGGTGTCGGAGGCTGACTAGGGAGACTCCATCCTCCGGACCTTTGGAGCATGCCCTGGCTTTCCACAGTGCTCCCTCCCTATACCACGACTTCTGTTGTTTTTGTTTTTCAATGCAGGGTCTCACTGTGTATGTAGTCCAGGCTGATACCCCCCCTCCGCCCACCCCCGTACTGGTGATTGGACTCAGGATGCCAGGCAAGCGCTTATTCTACTGAGCTATTTCCCCAGCCCCAGGCTGGTTTTCAACTCACTATATACCCCAGGCTGGCCTTGAACTCATGTTGATCCTCCTGCCTCAGCTTCCCAAGTGCTGGGATTACAGGCATTCACCACCACACATGACTCTACACAACAAATATAACACATTGACCTGGAGAAAGCGACAGGTATGCACTTCAGCGGTGACTTTCTCCCTACAATCAGGACCACAAGCTTAGGGCACAGATGGGTCCCTTCTAAATCAGTGGGATCCCCACTATCTTCATGCAGTCTTGCAAGAAGCTACCCTTATCACTCAAACTATCTGTCTGTCTCTTGCTTTTCTGTATATCTAGAGCAATAGCCTAGACCAATGGGGAGAGTCCTACCTGGGCCCGGAAGGTAGGGGGTGCCTGAGTCCCTCGCCGGGTGAAGTCCTCATATCCGAAAGTAGGGTCTTCTACAAAGCACAGCATGTCTGGGTGTGGAGAAAGCTCCAGGATGTCAGCTGAGGACCATGTCAGAGAGAGGTCATGGTGAGGGTGAGGCATGGACACACTGGACTCCACTCCTGATTAATCATCAAATGGGGGGCAGGGGAGCCCAAAGGAAGGCCAGAGAGAGCCCCTTGTTGTAGTGAGGAAGAGCAGGACTTTGGCTAGAATCAGGGCTGGGGAGAAGGTGGGTCTGATATGGGCCCAGGTGGCAAAGCCCAAGAAACAGTAATAGTGATAGTCCTTTGGAGTCATCACCCTGGGTCAGGGGCTGTGCTAAGTGTTTTGCTCATTGACCCTTCACACCAATCCTGAGGCCCTGAGGCAGGAGGTGATTATCAGTGGTCACACAGCCTGAAAGGCTAATAGGCCTCTGAACCTCTGAGGGAAGTGGAGAGATGGCTGCCTCTGAAGGATGATGTGTGGAGGTACCTGCTCCTCACAGAAATGGCTAAGGAGGGGTCAGTCCTGGGGACCTTTACCTGAGGGGGTTACCAGGAGGCTCTCCGACTTTTCCAGCTCAAAGCGGCTCTCCATTTCCTCCTGAGAGGCTCCCTCGTCCCGCAGCAGGCTGTCCTGCAGCTGCCTCATGCGTTCCATCAGAGCTTCCACGTCACGGGCGGCCTCAAAGCCCTGGAAGAGGGACACAGTGCTTCCCATGTATTCCTCCTCCTTTCCCCACAGGAAACTCCACCTCAGCCTTCCCACATACCAGGCCTTCCTGAATGATCACACAGCACCAGGGCAGCCTGGGAACCAACCACTGTGCCACACAGCTCACGTGGTCTGTGGGCTACACCAGGGCTACAGGCTACCAAAGACACATGTCTTCTCTTAGATAACTTCCCTTATGGGGAATTTTTAAATTACTTGTATTTTGTTTTTCCTGTGGTACTCGGGATTGAACTCAGAGCCTCATTCATGCTAGGCAAGCACTATCATTGAGCTTGTCCACACCCCCCCCCCAATTGTCTATATTTCTATATTAAAATAAGCAAGGTCAAAATAAGGAGTTTTAGGTAAATTTCTTTTGTTTGTTTTGAGGCAAGTTCTCCCTATATGATCAGCAGGCTGATCTCCTGCCTTGGCCTCAGGTAGGACCATATGCATATGCCACCTTGCCTGGCTTCTTTGTCATTTTAAAGTGCTAAAACCCAGAAGCCACATGCTGAAAGGCCAGTCACATAGTACTTCACTTAATCTTCACAACCCACAGTTTAGGGTCTTTATCCCCACCCAACAGATGAGGAGACCGAGCTTCAATCAAATAACATTTTTGTGGCCTCTCAGTTGCAGAAGATAGTGACTTCAACCCAAGAGCCAGAGGCCACACCAGCTTTCTCCCCCTAAGACTCAGGGCCAAGGTGACTTACCCCAGAGTTGTTCAGTGGATCCCTGCTGGGGGGGCTACTTTGCTCACTGGGGGGTGATGGTGCCTGGGGGGCAGGGCTGCCCTCTGGATCCCCCTCTGGAAGGATGCCACAGCCAAACACAAAGGAGGCCAGTGAGTGGCAGTGGGTGAGCAGCACCAGGGCCTGGATGAGTTCAGCCAGGGACCAGCTGTGCTCGCCTGTCTTCAGCAAGGCCTGGAGAGTAGAGAAGGCCAGACCTGTTCAGTGTCTGTCCCAAGACTGCTAGCCACCACCCAGCCCAGCCCTGGGGTTTCCTAAGGGACCCACCACTATTTACTGCACCTGGATATGTTCCTTGGTGATGAGCCATGGCCGATGTGCCAGCAACTTGTTGATCTCACTGAGTTTCCGCAGCTTCTCAGGGGCCCGATGCAGGCCCAGCAGCCACTCGGGGTCACCACCAGTCTGCAGAAACTCGGCCATGTGGGAACCCACCAGGTAAGAACACTGGTGGCGGGCAGCAGCCTGTGGGCGGGGTTGTCAAGAGTCTGGGTCATTCTCCCTTTTATGCCTCACTCAAGGAGGGACCCCCTTGGAGGGAGGAATATTATTGGGCTTATAGCCAACAGGCAGAAAAGTGAGGCATCTTTAACTCAGGCTCTGCCACCAGCTTTGCAAGTTGCCTGACTCCTTTGGCCAGCATTTCCTAATGCCGAAAGCATGCATCAACGACACCTCTCTTCGAGACTAAAGTTCTATGGACAGTCAGATAATGCTAGATTTCTTTTTTCTTTTTTTTTTTTTTTTGGCAGAACCAGGGATTGAACTCAGGCCCTTGTGCTTGCCAGGCAAGCGCTTATTCTACTGAGCTATCTCCCTGGCCCCTAGATTTTTTCTTTTTTTCCTGAGTCAGGGTCTTGCTATGCAGTTCAGGCTGGCCTTAAACTTTCTGTGTAGCCCAGGCAGGCCTCCTTGGACTAGAGGTGATTCTCCTGCCTCAGCTTCCCAATGTCTAGGATTAGAGGTATGCGCTACCACACCCAAGGTAGGCCCTTCTGCTTCATCTATGGAATCAATTCAGGAAGCCTCTAGAAAAGAGATCCAAGGACAGGGCAGAGGAGATAGCTTGGCACTAAACACCTGCCTGGCAAGCACAAAGACCTGGGTTCAATCCCAGGTACCACACACATGTGGTGCAGGCCCCTTGCCACTGAAACCAGGTATGGTGGTGCACGCCTGTAATCCCAGCGCTGGGGAGGCTGAAACAGGAGGATCACTGTGAGTCTGAACCGTGTAGCGAGACCTTGTACCAAATAAATAAATAAGGTGGGGGGAAGATATACAAGGACCAAATCCCCACATGGCCACCCTCACAACACCCTCACAAGGGTCTGCTGCAGACAGGCTCACCATGATGGCAATGTAGTGGCGCCATGAGCTGGCCAGGGGCCCGTCTGTGTGCAGCAGCAGGTAGTGCAGGCGCCAAAAGCTGCTCAGGTAGTCGGGGTGCAGGCCCATCACCACCGCCAGGTTGTCTACCCGTCCTGAGGACATCAGCGCTTCCAGCCCCAAGTGCTGCTCCAGGCTTTCAGCCCCTTCCCGAAGGACCTGCCAAGTGGAGAGAAGAGTGTGGGCTCCTCCTGCCCACTCCCACCATCACAGACCCACATCCTTGGTAGTGGTATAACTGAAAACCACCATCAGGTCCAAACAGGCAGAATGGAGAGGAAAAGACAGTCCACTAAGTGATCAAACAAAATCTTATTAGGTGTCTTATATAATACCTACCAAGCATTGTTCAAGTAATATCCATTATCAACTCATTTAATCCTTAACAAAATTGGGGCAGTGGCAGAGCTGTTACCCAGCATGCACCAGCCCCTACGTTTGAGCTCCAAAACAAAAAGAAAACTGTGCTCACAACAACTATGAGATTGGAGCTCTATCTTTTCTTTTTTATTTACTTAAAATTTATTTCCTTTTTATTTTTTGGCAGTGATGGAACTCAGGGCCTCACACATTCTGGGGTTTGCTCTACATTATTAAATCTTCCAAATAGTCCTGTGAAGAGGTCACTATTCGTTTCCCCATGGACAGATGAGAAACCAGGCAGGTATTGTTCCTTGTTTAGGCCACAGATAAGGTAAATGACAGAACCAGGATTCAAATCCAGATAAACTCCTAGTCCTTTTTCTTTCCTTTATTATAAAAGAAGAGTTATTTAAAAGGGAGAAGATACTGTAAGAACAATATATGACCCTAAAATTCTGGGCTACTGATATAAATAATCAGTGGGTGGTTATTTATCTTACATCTGCAAAGCACTAGGCAAACAGGGAACCCAGAAATTTGTTCACAGGTCATTATTCATTTTGGTGTGCACATTTACAAGAGAAAGAGATAGTAAATAAAACATCTATCCCTATTCAAAGGCCAAAGGAAACAAGCAGTCAATTTAAAATTTTTCCATGGATGTGTTCTGAAAGTCGCCTTGCCACCCATGTACACTACAATGTAAGATCAAGGATGGTGAAGAGATTTGCCTGTCTTGCTCTTGGTCCCTGATTCCTAGAACAATGCCCTTCACAGACTGAATGCACGGAAGCCAGAGGGTAGCCGGCAAGCGTGCTTGCCTAGAATGCGTGAGGCTCTGGGCGTAATCCCCAGCACTGCAAACAAACAAATGAGCTAACTGTAAATGCAAAATATCTGTAATCTATTACGTGAAAAAACAAAACATAAGCTATAGACTATGACTTTGTTTTTATACTGACAACAAATATCTGTAAGAAAAAAAAAAAAAAAAAAAAAAAGGCCAGTAAACCATGGCAAATGGTTAACAGTAAAGATCTATGTAGGGGGTAAATTCAATCCCTGGTACCACACACACAAAAAAAATCAAACCAAAACAAAACAAAAAAACCCTTGTTTATATAGGGAGTAAGACTATCAAGAGATCAGAGCTTCCTGAAAACGAGAAATTGAAAAATAATGAACCTATATTACTTTTAAAGCAGAAAACTTTTCTGTAACATACGGGCGAGAAGGGTGAGAAGACAAGAGACTATTTTGTCTTATTAAAGAAAGGGACTGGTCCAGGAATCACAAGTTTGGTTACTAAAATTTGGGCACAGTGGTGTATATTTATAATCCTAGCACTCAAGAGGATAAGGCAGGAGGACTGCCACAATTCAAGGCTAGTCTGAATTATGTAATGAAACAATGTCTCAAAAAACCAAAGGACAAACTAGGTATGGTGAAACACACCTGTAATGCCATCATTTGGGAGGCTGAGGCAGGAGGGTCACTGTGAGTTCGAGGCCACCCTGGGCTGCATAAGTGAGTTCAAGGTCAGTGTGCACTGCAAGTGAGACCCTTCTCAAAAAACAAACCAACTAAAAAATCCAGGGGACAGAGATGTAGGTCAGTAGCATAGTGCCGGCCTGGCAAGTGTAAAGCCCTGAGTTCAATTTCTGGTACCAAAAAAGAAAAAAGACCTTAACATGCATGCACACACGTACACAGGCATGTCTGGCTGTCATTTCATCTCTCTAAGCCTTTTTCTTCCCAGGGAAATAGGGATGAAACCACCTGTCTCACAGAGCTGTTTTGTGAATTAAATGGATCAGGAATTGGAAAGTAGTTACAAAGCTACAGGGTAAGCAACAGGGGATATTTCCATCAATATCCCCCCCCTCCCCGCCCCCCCCTTTACCTCCCAGGAACCAAAGATATCTTAACCCCTTCCAGGCAGGCGCTTCTGCCACTGAGCTATTTCCCCAGCCCTAACCCCTTCCAGACTTACCTCTTCTACTGGGATAAAAGCACTGGGCCCTCGGGGGCCTCGCCGAGCAGGGCTTTCTCTCTGCTCCTAGAAGGAAACAGGCTGGTTAGCTGAAGATAAAGAGGACTAATCTCTCTCCAGCCTCCTCCTCCAACCTTGAGGGCTCTGGTGAGCTTATGAGCCTGTGACTTTTCATATCTCTAGTCATCAAAGAAATGAAAAAAAAATTTTTTTTTGGTGCTGGGAATTGAACTCAGGAACTTGCGCTCTCCAGGCAGGTGCTGTGCCAATAAGCTATATTCCCAGCTCAGAAAAATATAAATTAAAACAACGTTGAAATTTCATCTTTGAAAGAATCACACACACACACACACACACACACACACACACACACACACAGCTCATAATAGCTAAATGTGGGAAGCAACAGGTAAATGGGTAAAGAAAATGCAGTACTTATACATAATGGAGTATTACTCTGCTGTAAAGAATAAATCCGAGTCATTTGTAGGAAAACAGATCCACCCTGAGACCATGATGTTAAACAAACAAATCATAAAAAGCTTAAAGATTTATTACAGGGTGCCAGGTATGGTGGCAAACATCGGTAATCCCAGAGCTCCAGAGGCTGAGGTAGGAGGATCACTTGAGTTCAAGAGTAGCCTAGGCCACACAATGAGTCCAAGGGCAGCATGAACTACATAACAAGTCTGTGTTTCGACCTCCTCTCAAAAATTAACAAATTAAGGGCCGGGGAGATGGCTCAGTAGAGTAAGCGCTTCCCTGGCAAGTGCAAGGGTCTGAGTTCAATCCTTAGTTCCGCAAAAAAAAAAAAAAAAATTAACAAATTAAATAAATTAAAAGACTTGGTTTCAAAAAAAAAAAAAGGTCACAAACGTAGTTCCATGCTAAGCTGCCGGGTTCAATCCTCAGTACCAATACATAAACAAATAGAGCTGCTGATGCAACCTGTGTGGAGGAGCCGGGCAGGACATTTCTACCCCTTTGGTGGGTGATGAAGACACAAGGGCTGATCTCGGCTGAAGTGTTCAGGAACTGGGCAGGATCCTGGGAGTCCCAGTATTTCTGGTTAGGAAAGACCCAGAGAAAGGGAAATACAGACAGCCACCACGTTGCATCTCTCAGAGGCCACTATCTTAGTGGCCCACAGCACCGATACCGAAGCCCCTGTGGCTGTATCCCAAAGCCAATAAGCAGGTACAATAGACGCCCAAAAGGAGCCTCCTTTCCTCTCCCATTCCGGTTTCTCTGACTGTCCCTGTCTGCAGCCTCCTAGTCATCTCCCTGTCTCCTCCTCTCCTCCTTCATCTTCACAGCAGCCACGTTAATGTTCTGATGTGTAAATCCACTTAACTGGCATCAAACTGATCCAAGACCTCCAAAAACAGTGAATGGTGCAGGCCCGTCCTCACCCACTGGCCATTCCTTTTGCAGAGAGAACTCTTAACAGTTGTAGGAATGGTTTTCTGATACTCATCAGTGCCCCGCCCAGCCTCATGTGGTCATAGGTGGGGAGTTTCCGAGGGGCTGGATTAGCAGGTGTTCTGCTAGGATTAAGAATGTATGCTGGGGGACTGGTGAGATAGTTCAGCAGTCTAAGGTGTCTGCTTAGGCAAGCGCACAGGGACTGAGGTTAGATCCCCAGCACCACATACCGGGCCAGCCCTGCCCCTAGGGTGGGCTGAGCCGGCCAAAAAAAAAAAGATGTGATGCTGGGATTAAGAGTGTTCTACCCGCAGTGTGGGTGGTACCACCCAAAAGGTGAGTAGCCACGAGGGAATAGAGAGAAACAGTGTTATGGTTTGTGTCTAGGTGTCCCCTCCAAAGCCTCATGTAGTCTTGGGGCAGCTTCTGGAGTTTGTGATTGATTGCTTTGGGTGTGGATGCTGCACCTGCCCTGGGGCAGGGAATTTGCATTACAATGTAAGGAGGGGAGAGAAGCTAGCAGCTTGAGCTGCTGCTATTCCTGCCTTTGCTCTTACTCTTTGCTGTTACCATGAAAAGTTGCTTTCTGCTCTGTGCTGTGCTGCCTTGGACCCAGCTGAACATGGACTGAAACCTCCAGTAACTGTGAGCTAAATAAACCTTTCCTTCCTTCATTTTGAGTATCGGGTATTTGTCCCAGCAACGAGAGAAGAATAACTGAGACAGACACAAAAAAAGCTGCTTGGCTACTTGGCTGCTTCGCTGCCTTCTGCTTGCTGCTGTGTTGTCTCCTGCCTGCTTGCCATGGACTGGTTCCCCTCTGTGACGCCCTCTGCTGTGCCATCCTGCCCTGGAGCCAGCTGACTACAGACTGAAACCTCTACAAACTAAGCTGAAATAAACCTTTCCTCCCTTAACTTGTGGGTGTCAGGTCCTTCGACTCAGCAATGGGAAAAGTAACTAAGACATCAATGATTTTGCTTCTGAAAATAATGTCTTCTAATCCTGTTTTAAACTGCTCTACGCCCAGATCACATTTTGTGGAGAGAAGGGCCAGGCCATTTATTATGCTCTGTGAGTGAAAACCGAGTGTGGAGAGAACCAGAGCAGGGTGTCCAAGGCTGATGAGAGTGTCTGTTTCAAGATAAATATATTTGCATTTCTTCAGAAGCTACCAAGGGCTGGGGAGATAGCTTAGTAGGATAATCCCTTGCCTGGCAAGCACAAGGGCCTGAGTTCTATCCCTGGTTCTGCCAAAAAAAAAGAAGTTACCAGAGTCCTAGTCCTAGTTATTTTCCTTATTACTGAGACAAAATTCCTAACACCCAAAGTTAAAAGAGGAAAGGTTTCTTTCAACTCACAGTTTGTAGAGGTTTCAATCCACATTCAGCTGGCTTCAGGGCAGGGTAGCATGACAGAGGGGCATCACAGAGGACAAACAGACCACGGGAGACTGAAGACAGCCGAAGCAGCAAGCAAGCTACAAGCCTCTCTCTGTCCCTTATATCTGACCCACGCTACCTGCCCTTAGGATGGGTGGTACTCACGCCCTTAAGCTTAACGTTGACTCAACCACAGTGTCACATACTCCAGATCCAAAGACCTCTGAAAAGACCCACCTCTGACCCCATGTGGCTTTTGTGGGGGGCTAGATATAAGCCGTAGCAATCATGTACACACTAAACCTGTTTTAGCTGGGTGTGATGGTGCATGCATTTAACCCCAGGATGCAGAAGGCTGAGGCAGAAAGACCAAGGAGTTCAAGGCCCACCTGAAGTACAGAGTGAGACCCTGTCTCAAACCAAATAAGCAAAAATTACTAAACCTGCTTATCCTAATCCTAGAGATGGAATTCAAGAAGGATACTTTATTTATTCATTTAATTTGAAAGAGGGGCTCTTCTATACTGGCCTTGGAGCTACCTTACCCAAATCACAGCCATGCCGTCACTGGAAAGGGACAGTCTCCCAACCCTCCCTTTCCATTAAGATCTAGACCTAAGCCAGGCATGATGGTATGTCTCTATAACTCCAGCCTTAAAAGAGCCTGATGCAGGAAGATCACCAATATCCTGGGCCCTATAGAAAGACCCTGTCTCAACAAACAAATACTGGGGCTGGGGAGATAGCTCAGTGGAATATAGTGCTTGTCTGGCAAGCACAAGGTCCTGAGTTCAATCCCTGGTACTATCAAAAAAAAGTGTCCTTGAATGCCATACATTCCCTCAAGAGCTAACAATCAATCTATGAAGTTCTTTTGGGCTGGCCTGATAGCTCAGTGGACTAAAGCGCCTGCTTAATCAGAGCGCAGAGGCCAGGTTCGATCCCCGGCGTGCCGTGCTGGCCTCATACCCAGGGCGCGCAAAGATGGCAATTGAGACTGGGCATGGTGGCGTGCACCTGTAATCCCAGCACTTGGGAGGCTGTAAACAGGAAGATCACTATGAGTCTGATCTGTGTAGTGAGATCCTGTATTAAATACAAAACAAAACAAAACAAAAAAACACACTTAGTATTGCAAGGACTAAAAACTAACTGGACTTTCTTTTTTGGGCGGCCAAAAGCCTCCAGAGGCAGATGTGTGGGGGTCTCAACATTCATAAAAGAAAGAACCATGAAGTGCAGGTGAACCAATGCAGCCACATACTTGATGTGTGGCTCTGGGAAAGTAATCTAGACTCTCTAGGCCTTAATCCTGAACAAAGTGGGCTGAGCTGACTGTTCAGGCCCCTTTCAGCCCACACTGGGAGCTATCTGGCAGGGCTGGGCCGAGGCCAGCATAGTAACCACACAATTATAGAAACACTCCCTTCACAGCTGCTGCCCTCCCTCACCCAAGAGAAAAAACCCTACAGCTCAGTCTGGGAGATAAGAACTGCTGATTCCACAAACTGCACCCCTCTCAAGGGGGTGGAAATCAGAGGGCAGAGAGAAAACCATACCAGACGGGCAGAATTAGGGTAGGAGGCCACAAGCGTCATGGGCTCACCAGAGATGCCAAAGAAATGGGAACAGTCTTGGGAGCCACCTCACTTCAAATTCTGACCCAGGAGCTGTCAAAAGGTAGCAGCTGATACCCAGAGGTCTGTGTGTGTTGCATTTGGATTCATTAACATCTTCCAATAGCAGCAACAACAATAATAGAGTTGTGGTCGGGGAAGAGGGGAGTTTGTTTTGTTTTGCTTTGCTTTTTTGAGATAGGGTCTTGCTACTATGTAGCCCTGGCTAGCCTTGAACTGGATGTGAATCTCCTGCCTCAGCCTCACAGAATGTTAGACTCACAGGTGTGCACCACCAGCCCAGTAAAATAAGGGGTTTTGACAAAAACTGCTAGGGCTCAAATGATAGCTCTACTACCTGCTATCATATTAGCTATGAGTATCAGTTTCCTCACCAAATAATAGGAGTAGTAACTAATTTCCCTGGGGTTTCCTGAGGATTTAATGAGATAATGCTACAAGGCTAACCTCTGTACCTCCACCACCCAAAACACTTAATGAAAGTCAGCTGGCATTAACTTCCTTGTTATTTCAAACAAAAGTGTCTCAGCTCAAGCAGCAGTACATTAGAATCCCTTTTAGAAAGGTTTTAAAAATACAGATGTCTGACCCCCAGCTATTCTAACGAGTTGGCCGGGGGTGGGGCCCCAGTAAAAGGCAGTGGCTGAGAGCTGAGGACCATTGTTTGCACTATTTATTGATCACTTTCAAGTATAAGGCAGCGGGCTAAGTGCTTTCCAGGTGGACTCAGAATTTGTTCACTTAGAGAACAGTCTGATGATTCTGTTGCAGGCAGCAAGAACACAACAGCGAAAAGACAAAAGTCTCAGCCTTCACGTAATTCTGGATTCATGGAGAAAGACAAATGATGATTAGGATTTCAACTCAAAAAAGTGAATGAAACAGAGCGATGAAATGTAATGATAATAGGGTGGCAAAGTATGCACTATTTTAGTGAAAGCAGACAGGAAAAGCCACTGGGGAGGTGACCTTTGAAGACTGAGGGGACCAGCACTCCAGCCACAGGGAATAGACAACGTGAAACCCTGAAAGCAAGACCAAGAGGAAGAATCTATGGCTTCAGTACCCCGAATAAGCACTCTGACCTTGACACCACAGGGAGTCTGGGGAAGACAGGCAGATCTGGATCCCATTACCCAGCCCTCCCCTATTCGCGGAGGGCAGGGAATCAACAACAATACAGTAACAGCAAGGATTACCACTGGCTAAGCACTGACTTCACAGGAACCATCTAGACTTTAATACAGAGACAACTACCACTTCCCCCCTTTTACAGACAGGAATAAAACTCAGCAAGACTAACTTACTTCTAGTCACTCAGCCTGGAAGAAGGTAGCGGGAGAGTTAGAATAGATTCCTCCAAGTTCAGGAACTAGATCTCTACTCTGTAAACCTCTTAGGGTCTCAACAGTTCATGGGCTTGGACCAAAGTAAATAGCTCAGTGACTTAAGTGTCTGCTTGGCAAGCACAAGGTACTGAGTGGGATCCCCATTATTTAAAAAAAAAGTTCGTGGGCTTGTGCACCTGGGGTTCACCATGCATGAGATGCTTTTTGTCCTACCCCCAGGCCCAGGAGTTCACTGCCTTTAAATCACAGCATTTGTCACTGCTTCTCACCTCGAAGACAGAACCAGCCTCTATTCCTCCAGGGTCCAGCACAGTCAAATTCATCAGAACTTTCTGTGATGCTGGAATGTTTTACACCCACACTGTCTAATACATACTGCGGCACCTCGTTACAGGGGCTGAGCATTTGAAATGTGACTAGTGCAACAGAAAGAAAAAAAAAAAAAAAACAAACAAAACATTTTCCTGTACTTTGAATTTACTTTTTTGGAGTTAGAGTCTTGGACTTCCCCTATGTTGCCCAGACTGGCCTTGAATTCGGCATCAACCTGCCTCAGCCTTTACCTCCTGCTGGAAGTAGCTGTGTTTCCCACCCACGCCATGTCAGGCTATCCAAATCTAAAATGCCAGTGAGCCCAGGTTCAGCACATCTGTTAAGGTGTGCTTCGTGATGCTACCTGGATTACACAGATGAAACAAGGGAGAAGGAGAACCAGAGCGGCTGGGTTACCTGCCCAAGTAACCTAGTTTACATGAAGCAGAAGGAAACCTAATGAGAGCTGTACTTCATAACTCCAACAGCGACAGTCACGGAGGACAGCAGGAACAATGAAGTCAGACTGCTCTCTGGGAGGTCACTCATCAGGAGGTCTCTAAACTACTGGTAAAAACAGCATAATTGCCTCAGAGCTCAGGGCCTGGCTCCCAATTCAAGAGCCCCAGGAGATGTTAACTTTCGGATAGGGTACTTGCATGAAGGTTCCTAATCTTCATCAGTTTGGAGATAAAGGGGCCACTAATTTGCAAACAAAGAAAGATTAAGGGTTCAAAAAGTGAAGTACCAGCCAACCAGTGGCAACCTGCAATTTAAACCCAGGAATGCCTGGTACCCTGAGGGCCTTTACACTCCACCAGAAGAGCTTCCGGGAAGAGGCTACAGGCCTGGAGATTGGAATTCAGCTTAGTTTGGCTTCCCAGGCTTCTGTCCACCATCTGGTTGGCCTCTTGGAGTAGCTCCATCTTTGTTCTTGATATCTGGGCATGGAAACTCTGGGTCTCAGCTACAGATCTTTGTTCTATCACTAGGTCGACTAGGAAGGGGTACATACTTCTATACCACTCCTAGGAGCTAAACTCAGGTATCTGTCTGGGTTTGCACCCAAGAGAAAAATGGTACAAGTACAGCCCTGACATCCACCCAGCTTTGGGTATCATCTCACTGAATCCCAAAGGAAACCGGTATTGTTTATCCCTTCTTTAGAGACAGGTACAATTTCAATCTGATCTGAAAGCCAGAACACTTTACAAGGAGCAGCTTGGCCAGCCAGGGTGGGGTCACTGTGAGCACTGCCAGGGTGCAGAGGGCAGCACTGGGGCTGGGACCCACAACGTGTCTACTGTGGCGAGGGAGACCGACAAGCAACACCTAATTTACGTGAACCAAGTAACTGTTTCACAAAACTTCCACCACGGGTGAAGAGCACTGGAAGAAGATGTACAAAGAAACTTATCCTAGGGTCAGCCACATAGCTCAGCTGATTGAAGTGCCTGTTTAGGCAGAGCGCATAGTGGCTGGGGTTCGATCCCCAGTGTGCCATGATGGTGCTGGTGCCAGTGCCAGAGCTGGCCCCGCCCCCAGGGCACACTAAAACAGCAGACTACGACTAGACTTGGTGGTGCGTGACTGTAATCCCAGCTCTTGGGAGACTGAAAACAGGAGAATCACTATGAGTCCAATCTATGTAGTGAGACCCTGTAGACCCTGTACTAAAATACAAAAAAAAAAGCGGGCCAGGAAGATGGCTCAGTGGAATAAGTGCTTCCCTGGCAAGCGCAAGGGCCCGAGTTCAATCCCAGGTTCCGCCAAAAAATAAATAAGAAAGAAAGAAACTTATCTTGTGCGTGGGAAGCTTCTAGAGCCCAATACAGCTTCGAAAATATGCAAGCAGTATTAGATGGGGGAGGCAGTCTGGAGATAGTGTGGAATGATGGGTAATCGAGGAAAACTGCACATCAGGTCCTTCCCTTGGACCTCGAGCCCCAGGCTCTGTAAGATTGGCACACTGCTATCTTCCAAAGATTACACTTCCCAAGGTCTTCTCTTCTACAGAAAAACTTGGGAGAAATACCTCACTCATACCACCATTCCACTGAAAAATGACTTCCTTGAAGTCCCTGGAAGCCTGCCCACACTACCTATGTATGGCACCTTTCTCCTTAGACTGCTTTCCAGGTCTTGTCCCATTGAAGGGGAAAGGTCAAATCCTAGAAAGGGAGATAACTATTGTGACAGTAGCTAAAATTTTGGTTCCAGTTACCATGTTGTATGTAGCACTAGGTGCCAGGCAGTGTGCTTCAGCCTGTGCTAGTATTCTCAGCTAATTCTCCCAACAGTCCCATAAATATATTTTTTGAAACCCTATAGGAGGGGCTGTGGGAATAGCTCAGCGGCCTATGCTGGTGCACACTTATAATCCCAGAGCTAGGAAGGTGAAACTGGAGGTTAACTGCAAGTACAAGCTGTGTAGTGAGACCCTGCACCAAATACATTAAAAAAAAAAAGAAAGAAAGAAAGAAGTCCTATGGGAAAACTCCGCAGTAAGTAGAGGGATAGGACACCGACCCAGCATGTGCTACTCCAGTGAGACCAGGCATCTCAATAATAATGAGATTTTTATTTTATCTTTTTCATAAACAGACTAAATGACTCAGCTGAGAAGAGGCAGAAGTGAGCATTCCTCCATGTGGGGCTCCTAAGGGATGGTGGGAAATGGCAAAGAAAGAGGAGGGCTAGGGATGCAATGTGGTGGTAGAGCACTTGCCCAGCATACAAGAGAAGCTGGATTCAATTCTCAGTACTGGAAAACAACAATCAAAAGCATCTCCAGAATCCGCTCTGCTCAGAGTAGATCTTCCCTGGGTCACACACTCTAACACGAGCATGCCACTGACTCAGCCTTAAAACACACCCACCTCCACAACACCTCAGGCTAGGAAACTAAAGAAACAAGCAAAATTCCCTCTTGTGCCAAGCACTGTCCAAAATCCTAGGCTTAAAGAATGAGTTTTGGAGTTAGGGAAGGAAGGCTCTGTCTCAGCCCCTCTAAGCCTGTTTGTTCATCCAGTAAAATGCTGATATTGCCTGCATTTGCTGGTTTAGCCCAGAGGAGGCAGAGACCATACAAACCCCAGCGCCTGGCATCTAGCAGGTGCTCAATAAGTAAGATGCTCACTGCCACTGCTATTACGAGGATGCGGGACAGTTGTTGAATTAGGTCCGCCTTTATTTCTTGCTTCCCGGCAAAGCCCCTTTAAGGCTGGGGGGGGGAGGGGAGCAGGAAGGGGGAAGTCCCCGCGAAAAAAACTTCCAAGACCCTAGACCACTCAATAAGGAGCAGCCTAATAGGAACGAGTCTTCGGGAGCCACTGCTAGAGCAGTCCCCTTTCCTCCAGCTTTGGCTGCCGCTGCCGCTGCCGCGTATCAGGCGGCCCGCCAAACCCCAAGAGCACCTTCCAAATCGGGGGTAGGGGCGAGGCGGGCGGGGATGACCTTTGCGGGCCAGTCCCAGGTGCTCCTTGCCCCACGCTGAGGGGCCGGAACCGGTCCGGATCCTAGAAAAGCTTCCTGGGCCCGCCGGCCTCCGCGGAGAGGACGGGAAACTGCGCAGGGGGCGGGGAGGAGGAGTGGTCGGGCCGCTCAGGCTGGGATTTGCCTGGACTTGAAGACGCTTTCTCCACAAGAACCCAAAGCCTGGAGAGCCCCCAAAAGGTTTCCCACTCTTTCGTCCGGAGTCAGGGAGAGCCAGGGAGGGCTCTGGCGGCCGGGGTGGGGGTGGGGGCGAGAGGAAGGGGGAGGGGCCGAAGGGAGGCGAGAAGAGAAGAGGCCGGAGGCTGCAGTTGATGCAACCGTGGTTCGGGCTTACGCGCTCCCCTCCCCTCCCGGCGCCCGGGGGGCGCGCGGACTCAGCTCCGGGCAGCCCGAAGTCTCGAACGCGGCTCCGGGAAGTGTGGCGTCGCTCGGCCGCCGCTTACCTCTCCGGCCCCCGGATCTCCGACGTCGCCCCGGGCGAACGGCAGGTAGCCCTTGAGCTCGGAGCGGCACTCCGGGTCCGCAACGATCATGGTGTGCGCCGGACCCAGCCTCGGCGGGCAGATGACCGGTGTACCAGAGGGGGTCTTGGACTGTCGCTCGCAGCAAACCGGTTCTGGGGGCCGCCGGAGAGCTTCTGGAACTCCGGGGTGTCTCTAGGGGTTCCAGGACGCTCGCGATCCGGAGGACTACAGCTGCTGGCTGGACTCTTTCCCCCAGTCTGGTTCCTAGAATAGTGGGTGCCTTCGGGGGCCTGAGATTGGCCGCGATGCTGGGGCTTTTCACGGCCCCGAATGCCTCGGAAGTCCGCAGTGGACAGCGCTGCTTGTGGACCCAGCGCTTCTCAGCATCTCCGCCGCGGAACTGCCAGCGCTCACCGGGCTCTGACACCAGCAGTGCCTCTTAGCCCGCTGCGGTCCCCGGGGGAGGGCGGGGACACAAAAGCCCAGAGGCACAGCCAATCAGACGCCTGTTTCTCGGGGAGGCTGGGGCTACACCACCCTCTGGAGCCAACTGATCAGCCAATCGGCTTCGGGGAGCGCCGGGGAATTCTGGGAGCTGTAGTCGACCTCCGACGAATGCTGCAAACTTTTGCAAGAGGCTTTAGTCATATAGCTGATAATACCAGATGAGAGTGACAGCCCGGAGAGTCATTAGGGATACGTGATGAAACGGGACGTTACGGGCTGGCCCTGAGAGCCAGGTGTGAAATCCCTCCCAAGTGAGTTCAGCTTTTCAGTTCCTGGAGGGACTGGTTGGGGTTGGGAGAGGTTTGAGTCCGCGGTATCTAGTGATGCTAATTATAGAATTGAGTACTAGACATTTGGAGGCCTGAGAACACCACCCAGTTCCCTCGGGCCTCGGAGAGGACTTCACCTGCAAATGTGCCAGGCTCAGGGAATCCACGTCATTTGTGGAGTCTCTGGAAAAGCCCCATACGCCAAAATGCAGTCAGCAACCTCATGTCCTATCTCAGGGTTTGTTGCTCAATTTTCTGTCCTCTCCCTCGCTGCCTTCTCTGGTCACATCCTCCACCTCTGCCAGTAACAACGCATTCTGCTGGGTTTATTCCAGCTTGGCCCTCTGGCCACTCCTCTAACTCCTTCTCCTCCCACTTGCTAAGACGTGGGTGCTCCCTTAGTTTCTGTTTTACCCCTCTTCTTTCCAGACATACTCTCTCTGATCTCATCTTCTTCCTGCCCTTCAAGTCTCCTTTTGCAAGGAAGTTGCCTCAGCTAGAACCTCAACTCCTCAAAGCAAAATTCTTCAACTTCCCAGAGAGCCTCTTTGCTGTTTGTCTTCAGAGCCCTCTTTTTTGTTACTTTGATTTAAAAATCACTATTTAATCTGCATAGGGAGTGAGGGTGGGCTTGACATCCAGGTCCCCTGTGGAACAAGTTTGGAGTCTGGTTTTGGATTCTCAAGATGAACCTTTGACTTGGTTTCTTGCCTCCATCCAGCTTCTTAGGAGAAGGAAATAAATCTCCATTCTCTTCTGAGCTCCAAAAACACTTAGAGTGGGTTTCATTTAATATTTTTCACGCTCTACCTTATGTTGTAGCTTAAGTCACTAAATTGCCCAGGCAGGGCTAGAACTTGTAATTTTCCTGTCTCAGCCTCGTAAAGTGACAGGATTGCTGGCATGTATCACCACATCTGGCATCTTTTATTTATTTTTTGAGACAGAGTCCCACTATATAGTCAAGACTGAATTTGATCTTGCTACATAGCCCAGGCTGGCCTCAAACTCACAGTCCTCCTGCTTCAGCCTCATAGATACTGGAATTTCAGGTGTGTGTTGCCATTATCTGACCTTTTGGATGATAAACTCTTTGAAGGCAGGGTTTACATTTTCACATTTTTTCCTCCCATTTTATGCCATCTAGCACAATGTCCTACTGGTAATTTGTTCTTGGTCATCTACTCTTCCTATGGGTTAATTTTCATTTTAAGCAACCTTTTAACAGACTCAACTTCCATTTCATTTCATTTATTTATTTATTTATTTATTTATTTATTTTGGTTCCAGGGATCAAGCTCAGGACCTTGCACTTGCCAGGTAGGCTCTTATGCAGCTAAGCTATCTCCTGGCCCCCAACTTTCATTTTAAAAGTGTAAGCTGCACATGATGGTGCATGTCTTGTAATCCTAGCTACTTGGGAGACCAAGGCAGGAGGATTCCACGTACAAGGCCAGCCTGAGCAAGTTACTGAGTTCCTGTCTAAAAAATAGGCTAAGGGGGGGCCGGGGAGATGGCTCAGTAGGATAAGTGCTTGACTGGCAAACGCAAGGATCTGAGTTCAATCCCTGGTTCCGCAAAAATAAATAAATAAATAAACAAATAAAAAATAGGCTAAGGTTGTAGCTCAGTGATTGAGCACTTGCCTAGGCCCTAGGTTTAATCCTCAGCACTGCTTCCACCTCACCAAAATAAAAGTAGTTTTATACCAGCCACACCCAGGGTCCTTGTTTGGCCTTCAATTTTTTTTTTTCTTCTTTCAGTACCCTATTTTGCAAATCACTGCCTATTGAAATTGTACCTGGCATTCAAGGCCTTTATTCCTGTTTGTGGGTTGAAAGAAGCCTTTGTTCAAATGCCACTTCCTCCAAAAGCCTTATTTCTTCAGCTGGACTAAAAGTAATCCCAACCATTTCTCAACACCTTCGACCCATTTTCTCTACTTTTTTTATGCAACTGGTTTCCAAACTTAAATTAGCTTCATTATCATTTCTACATATCCTACTCCTTTCCTCCAATAAACAATGGAGTATTACTGACCATTTGTACACAGCAAGGGAACTGCAACTCAGTAGATAAAATTGCTTGTAAAGGTCACAGTGTCCTCTTTTGACAGTACTAGGCTGTGTCAGAATTCCTTAAGGCAGCAGAAACTAGATTGAAGTGTCTCTGTGTCTCTCACTAGCATCTAATATGTCCTAAGTTAGAAGAGGAGGAGGAGGAAGAGGAAGAGGAGGAGGAGGAGGAGGAAGAGGTGGAAAAGGAGGAGGAGGAGGAGGAAGAAAGAAGAGGAAGTAGAGGAAGAAGAAGAGGAGGAGGAGGAAGAGGAGGAGGAGGAGAAGGAGGAAAACAAAAATGGTGCTGGGTCCAGCAAAACTGGACATGGTGGTACACACCTGTAATCCCAGTGCTGGGGAGGCTGAGACAGGAGGATCACTACAAGTCCCCACTGTGTAGTGAGACCCTGTACCAAATAAATACATAAATAAATCTATCCATCCTTAAAAAAAGACTGGTGCTGGGCTCAAACCCAAGTCTTATGCATATCAAGCAAGCACTCTATCATGGAACTCCACTCCAGTCCCCCAGTAAATATTTTTGAATGTACATGAATTACCCTCCTGGTAGCAAGAACCTTTCAGAATCTCTAGAGATGTGACTGCACTGTCCCCAAAGCTTCACTTACAAAGTCGGTGATTTTTGTGAGACTGTAAAGCCAAAGATCCTGATATTCTAAATTGCATGATCTTTTGTGACTCAGTCTCCAAGGAAAGAAAGGAGACACAAACACTAACGTTTACTGAGTTCCGGGCTATGTCCACTGTGCCAGGTAACTGTCCTCGTCACCTCATGAAGTAGGCATCATGTGCCCACTGTCAGATGAGAGAACTGAGGCTCAAGAGGTATGTTGGCCCAAGTCAAGTAGCTTAGTAACATGGTAAGAATTCAGAGCCACGATGACTCCACAATAGAAACTCCAGCACACTAGTGGTGAGAGAAGGGTGTGGATGTATGAGGAGCAGGCTGCCACATGTAAGCGATGCTTAAAACAGATAGATTAATTGGGAATGAGAAACCTAACTGTCTCAGGGCCTATAATTGATGGGCCAGCACATCCTCTCTTGTGGGAGGGTTTCCATGAAAAGTCAGGTTATCCTATGAAGACGGTTCCGGTAGCTGCAATCTAAGTGGAGGCAACCAATGAGAAAATGAATCACCAGACTGGCTCTACTAGAACAAATCCTTCCTCTCATTCAGAAAGTATTGACCACGCCTGGTGTACAAGGTGCAGTGCTGAGCTCCAGAAATACTAGGGGAGAGGGAGGGCCTGAAGGGGGCGGTGACAAGGGCTGGCCACATTTCCCCCTTCCCAGTATTTTTGCTTCGCTCAAGAGCCCCCCTTCTGGGGCTGGAGAGATGGCTCAGTGGTCTAAAGCACCTACTTGGAACAAGCTTGGGGACTGTGGTTCAATCCCCCAGCACCACATGCCAGCCAGCCCCTCCCCCAGGTGGGCTGAGCTGGTCACACACACACAATAAATAAATGTAAAATAAATAAAAATATTAAAAAAAAAAGAGCTCCCCTCCTGTTGCCATACTCTCTCTGACTATTGCATCAGCTAAATTGAGGCCGCTGATTGGCCAAAGCTATTTTTATTTCTCAATCACGGCCTAGTCTTGGGGTCTAGTGTCTGGGTCTTGGAGACACAGACACCTCTAGATTAGATTTGAAATGTTTTTGAGATCTCAGCATCAGAGCCTCTCTCCAATTATCACTCTAATGGGATTCTCATCTGCTCTATTTATTCTTCTGAATTAATTTTCTGATCTCAAATTCTAGAATCACTTTAGTAACCTTATCCTATAGTCATGGGTGGAAGTTATAATTCAGATGTCATTTTCTGCACTTTTTTGCTTTTTTTTTTTTTTGGTCTGCTCTCCACACCAAGTCAAGACACTATTTCTGCCCAGAGGGAACTTTCAGGATAGGAGCCTCATTCCAAATGGTTTGATAAAGCCAAAGGAGACCCTCTCCAAGGCTTCTTCACACATCCAGTCAATTGCTTCCGAAGCAGCAACTGAGCTGGCCCCTTCCTGCTGACAGCTGACAGCTCCTGGGCTGTGGGTCTCCACGGCAACACTGACATTGTCCCCTGGAGTTGTGCGTTAGGGGGTAGGTCAACCACAGGCTCTCAGAAATGGAGCCAGCTATCTTTGAAGAGCTCCTCTCAGGAATCAGGCAACTCAGGCGCTGGTTGTTAGCCTTATCACTCGAACTGAAAATGCGCCCCCCCCTCCTAGAATCTGTTTGCTCATCTTCAAAACAAAGGAATTGGAAATGCGCTCTAACCCTCCAAAACCACAATGCAAAGAACTGCTGTTGAGCAATGCATGCAATTCGCTTTCCTCGATTGCATACGTGTGTTCGCGAGGGGGCGGGGAGCAGAAACCTTTAGATTTGGAAGAGCTCATCCCTGTTAAATAAAATACGAAAACTAACCTCGGCGGCGTTTTAGGGCAATTCGCTGAAGAGTTCGACTAGTTTTGTCGACTGAGTGAACCATTATCTCCCCCTGCAGGCAGGGTCCTGCTACAGCTCAGGTAGAATAGAAAAAAGGGTACACTGAGGATGGCCCTAACAGTTTTTGGTTTACAGGATTGTCAAGTCCCATGTCTCCGCCGCAAGGTCTTGAAAAAGAGGT